GTGCCATTCCACATTATTACAAATAACTTCATTTCTGGACATTTATGGTTTGATTTCTTTGTATGTATGGATCACTTGGGTTGTTACCGACATCTGGTGATAACTTCATGTCATTAGCACCTCTAGTAATATATTTACTGAGAAAAATGGTGACGTGTTTAATAATTATTTTACCCGCTGTACTTTAATTTTGGAGGTATAGATCAATTTGTGTTTAAAGATATGTTTGTTTCATGATTTTTTGGGCGTGTTTTAAAATGTGGCTGCGTTTCGTCACGCGGCCGCCTTCAGCATAACCCCTGGGCATACCCCGCCCCATGCTGCTCCAGCGGTATAAAAACGTTCTTCGCCTCAGCAGTTGCCCTTCACTTGTGAATCGCAGATAGCAATAGCATAGATATTTTGTTCGTTGTTAGCTAGCTAACCAATTATGCCTCATTCTCCTCGTTTGTGCATCTTCCCTGGATGTCACAATGTGCAGGGTACTAGCTTGGTGACTTTATTTAAGTTTCCGAGAGATGATCGACTGAAAAAACTCTGGATTGATTTTGTAACGAGAGTCCAAGACATTAGGATTACTACCAGCACTTGCCTTTGCAGTTCCCATTTTACTCCAGATAGTTTTACTAACTACCTGGAGACACAGTTGGGATTTATGGACTGTCATTTGGTGCTGGTTCATGAGGCTGTACCGACCGTCTCCCTCCCGGACTGTCCTCCCGACATCATTGCCGCCTCTCCTGCACCTGACGGTGGGATAATGCCGCGCCCAACAAACGTAGTAAGTTGCTGTTTGTGCTTATATTTTAAATATTCTGAGTGTTGGCTATTTAGTGCACAATAACTACTGAATGTAATAAAATGTACAAATCCATAACGTGGTTTTATACTGTTTATCTATAATAGGTTTTACTTTTCTTTTTTTCTTTTTTTTTGCTTAGCCCTTGCCATACAAGTTCACAAGCTCCTTTTTTGCGAAGAAAATGTGACAGGTCTATTGCATACTTAGTTATCAACGTGATTAGGCCTACTCTTTATTTTAATTACCAACACAGACCCGCATGTGATGCGACTGGGTGCAGTGGAGGTTTCTTTTGAATAATTATTACAGATGTTTTTATTCACATCTATGTAAATGTATTACTATAATATTTGAAATACTTTAGTGCTGGGTTGAAGTTATGTGGTCTTATAATATAGTAAGAGTTGAAACATAAAGTAGCATACAGGAGAAATGCCCACCTACTGTACTCATTCAATAAAGAGTAAATAAATGTAGTAAAAATGATAAATTTACTGAGATTATGCCACTGCAAGCTTTATTGGACAGCTTATTTGTACTGTTATCTCTTTTGACAAAGGAGTTTCCTCAAACCCTAAGAGAGAATGCATGCCAGTGTGACGGCGTTCAGAGAGAAACAAGGGAAACTGGATGTCAAACAGATCACTTTGTGAGGAAAAGGACTGTGGCCACGCAACTGTCCAAAACACTTGTTAACCGAAAAAATGTTGGCATGTTCATAAGTCCAGTTCTAAATTTGTCTTTTTGAAAAGCTGTGGTTTTATCATTTTCTAGGCACACACCATACTGTAGGTGTTGAAGAAAACACTCATTCATTTATAATTTTAAATTGCTATCATTAAGTTAAGAATTGTCTGGGATTAAGTTTACAAAATAATTTATACTACTTCTACTGTCAGGTACCAGTGTCTGACACTTTCAGAAATGGTAGAACAAAAAATGAGTGGCCTGTCACTGCCATATTATGACAAGGTTTGTAAAACGGGTTCAGAACACAGGGAAACAATAAAGGTTTAAAAACTTTACTATTGAACTGTAGACTGGGACAGACCCAGGACCAATGGTTGGCACTTTTTTTTGGAGCCGAATGAGGAGGCTAAACAGATCCAGGTAAGCAGTCTGATTCTTGAGGTCTGTGGGTCGAGCTTTTGTTCGATATCCGTAAGGGAGGCGTGGGTCAGTGCCGGGTGATCAGAGAGCTGATGATAAAACCAATACGAGATCCAGAAGGCAAGGTCCGGGGGCAGATAATGTGATCAAGAGCCAGAGGTCAGAAGTTGGAACGGAACTGGACAAGGGACAGACAAGGTTGGAGTCGAGAGTCAGGCGTGGGGTCATGAACATGAGATCAGGCTTGAGCAATGGAGAAATGCTGGACATCTACTAGGTGAATACTGTTCAATAATCTGGCAGTATGGGACTGTGGCAGTGGAATAAATACTGGTGGCAGCAGGTGAAAAGGATGAGCTGAGATTGCAATAAGGGAGTGGCAAGGCTAATAGGATGATAGCAGAGGCGATTTCTCTAAGACCGCAAGGGAAGCTCAGCTTCCCCTAAAATGTAAAAAAAAAAAAAAAAAAAAGATAAAAAACTGTATATACTGTTGTGTGTACGTCATTGACTAAATATGTGCTATAACATGCTCAACTTTTGTTCAGAATCAGCTTATCACTGGTAACGACGCGGCTTTCCTCATTTCACTCATTCCCGCAGCTTCACAGTGTTTTAAACAGTCGGACGCTGAGCGTCTACAGATCTCATTAGTGATGCAAAGACTGCAGCTAAACGAGACGAGCCATTGGATAAATCCTGGCTTTGTCCCGCCCATCGGACGCTGAGCGTCTCTGGGGGTCTATGGGGCTGGAGGCTGGGTCAGACGCTCGTCTGCATGACGGCTGGATGATCTGTCGGAGGCTGAATCCCTTTGTGATTGACAGCGAAATGAACGAATCAGTGATCTTTTTTGGTGTAAACGTGCATGGGAGCAGTTTTTAGTTTTGTTTCTGTTCTGAGTTAAATCGGAGACTTTTTCAATCCTTTTAGCAACATTTTCTTTGTTAAAAACGACTATCAACAAATCGAACTTCTATTTCTGGTGTTATTTCTGTAGCTGCTTATGTTTGGAGATGGACTTCTATCACTCTTTCTGACTTCTTCTGTCCAGCGGGTGCTGCTGAGCCCCTTCACCATCATAAAACACTCACAGACGGACACACTTCACACTAGCTTCGCACCAGTAACAAGCTGCACATAATAGCAGTTTGAATGTTGTTGACTGGATTTTGGTGAAGCCATTATAGTCTTGTTTACAGAGAAAAACTTAGCATTAAACAGCAGGGCTGATCAACTCCTCAGATTAATTTGGTGCAAAAGGTGGGAAAAGTAACAGGTCTTTTCAGCTGTCCTGGTGKCAAAGTGAGCTGGCTGCTGTAAAACACTATAGAATAATCTGGAAAATGATTATAAAAGCATTGGATCAATTAATTCCTTTAAAAAAATCAACGCAAATTTGTTAAAGAAATATGAAATTGTTTAATTTGTACTTGTTTGAGTCACTGTTTGAGGAGTTGAATTTTTTTAGTTTTGTTTTATTATTTGGTTTATTGTTTGAAATTAATATTTTTTTGTAAATAGGAGCAGGTATCATAAGATATTTTTCTTCTTCTGCGGCCTTTCATTTTATTTTATTTGTATTGTTTTGTTGTTTGTAATGTTTTGTTTTTAAAAAGGAAATCAATAAATACAATAAACTAAACAAAATGATCTGTGACAAGGTCACAGATCATTTTCTTGAAAAGGAACGGAGGGTAGAATTTATAACCCACACATTTTATAATGTAGGCTGAAACTGAGCTTCCTCTCCTTGAAAGACCAGCATCCGCCACTGGATGATAGACTGTGGACTGTGGATATGGAACATGGAATGTTACATATTACAAATAACATTGTGCATTAGTATACACCATTTTGCAACCTTTATTGTTGAAGTACAATACAGATWAATTCTGTCCTGTATTACATTTCTACACCCCTTTTACAAATATTGACACTACATACAACAGTTTTATCACTATCATAATTTAAATAAATGTTTTACATGTTCTTCTGGCTACTGTCACCACTAAGAGTTTTGCTGTGGGCAGCACCACATCTCCTTTTCTMCCACTCCATTCTTCAACTCCACTTAAGCAGAAAGCTGAGGACCCACCAATAAAGTGTCCTGTCTTTGAGGGCACATCAGGAGTTTGAAGCCAGTGTAAGCTGTGTAGGTTCTTCTGACACCACCTACTTCCCCAGCATGTCTGAATCTGTTGACATCACTAAAGAGCAGTCAGTTAACTTTGCATGTTATAGATATTTCTAAATTTTGCTTTAACATGTAGGCCTATTCAAAACTATTTTTGGAAACAACTGGTCTTGCAGCGTTAACATCTTTTGTTCAACAGAACAATGGCCAAAACAGTGATGGACTTGGAGAAATATTTGGTGCATGAAGAATACCTGCTAGAGATTTTTAAAATCTGCCCCACCTGCTCAAGAGTCTGCAAGGTTTGTAAAAGGAACATTCATTTCAGTGACCCAGAGGTGCCTCCATAACATTCCTAAATCCATAACCTCTAACATTTTGGAAACAATTGAGCAACAAGAAATAGACTTATATTTGATCTAGATACACAATTTAAAATTAGTTATAAACACAAAATTTCTACATTTTCCTAATTTAGAAACATGTACACCCAAGTAGACAGTTTACATGGTCAATAAAAAGGTTTGCCTCAGTCACTTCTCAACACACCTGAGCACTTTTCCACCAYGATTAAATGGGTGTGGAGATTTACAGGTGGTGTTTTACTACCTCTAGTGATGACAAGTTGAAATAACACCAACAACATAAAAATGTCTGTAACAGATGACATGAATTACTCAAACAGTATGCTATATTTTGTGCTCTCTATCCTGTCTTTTTTAGAATATGTCAGTGAGCTCATGGGCTTCCTTTTTYATGATGTCATCCTTGACCCTGCCTGTCTCTGGATTCCTGTGTGAACAGTATGAGCTACCTGAGAAAGCAGATGCAGTTGCAAAGCATGTGTCCAGATTCAATGGTCCAGGTACGTTAGGAAAGAAGTATTTTAAAAATAAATTATTTGTTACACAGAAATGTCATTACACAGGAAATAATTTAATATAAGTGCAACATTGGATACATAGATTTTTTTCATTTTATCAGTTTGTAAAATTCTGTAGTTTTTGTGATTACAGAAAATGCAATGATGCTTATTTTAACAACAAAACAACAACAGAAACAGAAAGAAAAAGCTGAAAACATATTTAAACATTTATGAGTATCTACCATTTTTTCATATTCTACAAATAAAATCAAACAATTATAACACACATTTAAATGGGAGGTTTAAACCCTGTGTACTCGCCATCTTCGTCTGGGAACTCCTGGTGAATGCGGCACAACACAGGAAGGGATGATGACACGGTTGTCCTATCCACCGACACCAGGACACAAAACTTCTGTAAGCCAGCGAGCACGTCTGTAATTACAAACAAGATGGAATTTTATACTTTTATATTTGTTTAGGTGGTGTTTTTGGTTAGGTTGTCCTATGAAGAAAAAATTGACACTAAAACTGTCTTTTTTTAAACAACTGATTTCTGTTGTCTTTGTTGAACTGGTCTGAAACAGAGTTGAACATTTGTTTTATTGATTGATGCAAAACAAAAACTGCCCATTCTTTCCCAAATGTTTTCATGTCTTACAGATCAAGACCCCAGAAAATAAGTTGGAGTCATGAAAATGACATCTGCCTCAGCATTTTGAACTTTGAATCACCTTTTTAAAGACAAGTACTTTGATCAACACAAATGTAATTACACATCAGAAAGCAATAAAAACTATTTTTGTCTAACTTACACAGCTTGTTCCTTTGCCTCTAATGGCCCAGGGTCTGCCTGATAAATTTTCAGGGCATTCTGCAGGGAGTAGGGGTTCAAGCAGACGGACTCAAGGCCTGGATGAAAGGTCATGCAGCGTGGATTCTCTGGCATTCCAAAAGAGTARTACATGAGGAATGAAAGATAGATAATAAGGTCACAGTTGTCAGCAAAACAAACAAATAAAATAAAATAAGCCGTAAGAAGACAAAAAGAAAAACAAACTATACATAATGTGTTACACATGGAGTTTTTGTTTTTATTATTTTATTTATTTAACCTTTATCCAGGTAAACTGTTTGAGAACCACTTCTCATTTACAAACATGACCTGCCATGCACTCAGTGCATTGCAATATACAAACCTACATATTCAGTCATAGTAAAATGATTGTAAATTTTAATTGCGATTAAAAATTTTAACCTATGCCCATGCAGCACTAAAATTAATCAGATAACCCGATTAATTTCACAGCCCTAATTTTATACAATAACCAATTTTCCATAATGACTTTTGAAACTTATTTATTCTTTCTGTATTATCAGGGAGGCTGTTCCMTCTTTGGTTGAGGGTCTGGAGTACAGTGGACCTGTACAGGAACCATCCACCAAGAAACAGAGGACAATGGGAGAAGACAGACAACATCATTTGGCGTTGGAGATAAAAGCACTTGCAGCTTCCACCTAGTGAAAATAAGGAGTAACTACTTCACCACACTGCCCATTTGAAGTAGTGCTACAGGCTGAAATATACATTATGATATGAATACAGTTGAAACTAAAAGTTTACATACACAAAATAAAACAACACATTCACATTTTTTCCTCACTGCCTAAAATTAAATAAGACCAAAGTTCTCTTGTTTTTGGGTCATTTAGAATTACCAAAATTATTTACTTTTGCTATATGTCAGAACGACAGAAACAATATTTAAGAGAGTGATTTATTAATAARTTCAAAGTCAAAATTGTACATACAAAATGATTACTATCTCTTTAAACAATGAGGTAAAGCTCAGAGGTTCTCATTTAGAAAACATAGCTTAGGATCCATATTTAAAGTGTACATACATACAAAAGCGATCAAAGCGAGCAAGTGTTCTGCTGGCCATCACAAAGCCCTGATCTCAGTCCTGTGGAGAAGTTGTGGGTAGATCTGAAAAGGCATGAGAGTGAGGTGGCCTACAAACCTAGCRCTGAGTGATGCCGTTGTAGATACAACCCTGATCAAAATCATAATTATGATTTTAATTAAGAGCATATCTGTAGGTTTGGAAAGGTCCCCAGTTATGCAAAACAGTTCAGTCACCAAAATACTCACAGAAAACACAAAGAGTCGTAATTTTATTTTGGCCAGTTAAAAACTAACTGACTTTTATTAAAAGGATAATATATGGTTAACAAGTGATTACAATGATTTGAACAATAAATGAGATCTCAATATAACACAATTAATCTTCTAATTTTCAAGCAGTTGAACTAATTAATTAAGCAGTTTGTCTAACAATTTTAACTAAGCAAAAGCTGGTTATTTATGTACCTTCAGGGTTCTGTGTGTGTGTGCGTATGTTTATGTGTGTGTGTGAATGTGAGAGATGAGAGAGAGAGGGAGAAGACAAGACAAACAGACAGACAAACAAATAAATAAATCTTTCCTAAGGTTATGATCTTTAAATTGTGTATTTTAGCTGTGAACCTGCGGACCAAGTGAGCACACGTCAGCAGCTTTACTGTAGCCCCATGCTAACCAGACGAGGTGTGTCGACAAGATGCCAGCTCAGGTGTCAGCCTGGTGACCAGCGAACACTGGGGCCTTTCTTTGTCGGTGGTTGGAGTCTTGGAAGCCTTTTGTGGACTCGGTGCTGTCAGCACTGTGGAAGAACCGGCTCAAAACCGGTGCCCTGTCAGGAACTTTGGAAAACTCACAGCAAGGGTGTTTGTGGTCGTTTTGAGCTCAGGAGGCTCAAACAAAAGTTGTACTCCAATAAAAGAATGTTTCCTTGTAAAATTGAAAAAAAAATGCTACAACAAAAAGAAAGTGGAAAAATAGCTATTTTCCAGTACAGAAGCAAGAAGCTAGAGAGAGGCAGCCAGCACCCCCTTGACCCAGCGGAGCGAAACAACAGACAAACTGACGAACAGAGCAAAAGAAGAGTTTTTAAAGAGTAACTTATCGCAAAATTAACTTTTTTRAGCTGATAAACTGTCTAGAATGTGTCTAAAATGTTATATAGTACTGTTTCTGTGCTAATTTTGATGTTTTTGTGCGMATTTGTTCAAATCTGTAATATTTGGTCTAAAAACGTGTTTTTGCTGCTCATATGGGTAGAGCAGTGGTACTGCAGGCTAATTTGCATATTGGTTAACGGCTCTCCGCTGTGACGTGTCTTCTCCACAGTTTCGTCACAGCGGCTGTGTTCTGGTATAAAAGCCTCTCTCTAAGACACGCCCCTGCAGCAGTCAGAGGGTGGAACAGTTAGCAAGCTTAGCATGATCGTCTGTTGACCTTCAGCCTCGGGTGGGGAGAGCTGACTGCTGCACTGCTCTCTCTCTGTCCCCCCCCCACCAACACACACACCAGCAGTATGTCCTGCACAGCCGGAGGGGAGGAGGGAAAAAAAGGCAGAAACACAGCGGGGCAGCTGCAGCCCTAACGGACCGAACTTCAGTCAAACAAGACCCAACACTTATTCCTGATTTAAACTAGTGATCTTGTGAACAGCTACAGCTGTATGCTTTTATTTTTTTTATGTCAGGCTGTCGCGGAGCGCTCCACCTCCTCTGTCCAGTGCTGGTGTGGTGTGAGGCGGACAGCTAAGCCGAGGCTGCTGGAGCTCAAGGTCCTGACCCAGGGAGCCAACACGAGTTAGTCCCAGACTGAGCTGACTTGATCAAGTCTCTCTCTGCCTCTGGTGTGGTGGGGGGTGAAAAATCCTCCACCTCAGACCGTTTAGAGATGTAACTATCTGCGTCGCTGTGGTCACTCTCCATGTAGCATCAATTATGCTAATGCTAGCTGTCGCATTCTCTCGTCCTGGCCACACCTCCGCTCTCTAACCCCCCACTTTGATGCATTTTTCAAATTTCGCCTTGGGGCGGAGTTATCTTTTCACAGCGGGGTAAGATACACTTTAAAGACACAGTGAGTGCTGTGTGTTCTCACAGGAAAGACCAGAGTGTGGGAGGCAATTGTGTTTATCTTGCAGGTGTGAGAATGGTGGAGGTTCGCATGTGAACCGTGTGTGTTGTTCTGTATGGACCCAATATCAGAAAATAATAGCACACAAACATTTTATGAGCAGAAGCAATTCAACTCTTAAAAGACATTCTTAATATTCTAATTAACTAATGGTTAATTATGAACATMGACTAAATAGACTATTAAAATGACTGAGTAATGCTTAAAAACAGAAGAAATAAAGGAACAAAAACAAAGCCTTAACTAAGATATGTATTCTGTTACATTAACTCTTAAATTTCTAAACATGTTCAAAACAAATGCAAATTATTATAAGCTATTTAGAGAGCCCTTAAAATAAAGATAAAAAGTCAAACATATTAAAGGGTTGAAGCATTTGAATTATACATGTTTGAGGAAAAACAATAACAGAAGGATTTGTTTTATTTTGTTTTGTTTTTATCAACAAACAGCAAGGAGAAAAGGCAAAGCTTTTATTTTTTTATAGTTCTTCGGCAGAGCTGAAATTGTTCAGTCTGAAGAGAGGAGAGGTTTGACCCCAGGTGGTCAAAGGTCTACCAGTGGTGAAGTGAGGTGAGGGGGTTTCCCCTACACCGTTCTGTCAGGAGGAATGGCCCAGAACTCTATTTGAGAAGCTTGAGGAAGGAAACCAAGAAGGTTTAAAACAAGTCAGGCAGTGAAGAGGATATTATCCAATACTGAACAGATGGAAAGTTTTGAATGCAAAGAAAGTTAAAAAAAAACTAAACATTTTCTCAATACATTTTATGGCATTTAACAAATAGAAATAATTTTGGTGATTCTAACTAACCTAAAACAAAAGTTTGGTTTGATGTAATTCAGAGAGTGAGAAAATTATGTGGATGAGAGTTTTATTCTGTTTATTTAAATTTCTGGTTTCAACTGTATATAGTGTTTATCATTGTAAGTCACCACCCACTCTACTGCACCTGTCACCTGTAGAAAGAAGCTGTGTGAAGCTGACACCCCACCCACACAAAAAATAAAAACTAGTAAGCGGATTGGTTAGTGCTTCGTTTGTGCAGGTTTGTGCAGTTGAAATTAGCGTTTGTGCTGTAATACTTTTAGAGATATTACTAGTTTTTAGTGTAAGCCGATGACGTAATCTTTCCCGCAGCAACTTCCGGAATGGTGACGTCATCGGGCCAATTTTTAACTTCAAATATCTCGAAAACTAAACCTGCACAAACGGAGCACTAACGAACTAGCCCACTTTGGTTTACTTTTGAAGCGATATGGGGTGATGG